CATCGGTTTGACCCCCGGTTTGACTCTGGTCTGACCCACTGACCCTTGACCCATTGCCTTGATCGGTTCAATTGCCGATCCGGTTTTCAGTACCTTGATTACAAATCAAATTATGATAGACGAAATACAACCTATCTAATAATATAAAAATCAACCTCTATTTAACGCTGTAATGTGACAGATGGGGCTTTGGGCTTCATTTATTTTGATTAGTATCCTTTCAAAGTTTCAATCATATTTCATTCCCTTCTTAATTCTATATTTTCAAACTTCAAACAATGAATTTAATCTAGAGAGAATTCCAATTAAATCCAACCAAAATACCAAAATTAAAATTTAGACCTATAGTTTTATTCAATTTCTAGTGAGGCCATGAGACCTAATTAGAAATTTCTGGATGTTGTTAAATAACCAAAATGCTCTTCTTTTATTTAAAAAAATTGATTATTTTACTTTTTCTAGGGGATTCCTCATCTCTTATCATTATTTTTTGAGACCAAAAATATATAAGTAATTTTACAATGTTTGAAATATGTGTATATAACGTACACCAATAAAAATATTTAAATAAAATATGTTAAATTACAAATATAAGTAACCTCTAAATAAATATTTTTTATTTTCAATTCTTATAATTTACATTATTTTATTTATTTAGCGTAAATTATTACAATTTAATATTAAATATTTCTTATAATTAAAATGTTTTGAAATGTTAAAATAAATATTTACAACCTAAGAATAAAAAATATTTATTTAAAGACTATTTATATTGTGATTTAAAATATTTTGAAGGTTTTAGTTATATATACAAAATTTTAAACACTAAAAAATTACTTATATTTTTTTGTCTAAACATTAATAATAAAAGGGTTCAAGGGCATTATGGTCATTTAATAGTGTTCAGCAATCACTGATTAGGCCCCATGTCTTGATTAAAAATTTGTTAAAAGTGTAGGTCTCAATTTGAATTTAAGTATGTCGATTGGATTTAATTAGAATTTTCTCTTTAATCTATTCTAAACCTTAACGCTGTGTTTGGCTCAACAGAAGGGAGAGGAGGAGAAGGATTTTAATGAAGGAAATGGGAGGAAGGAAAAGAGGAGGGTAGTTACCGAAAGGAGGGTATGGCAAGGGAAGGGAGGGAAGGGATTTTAATAAAGGGGAGATGAGGAAAGAAATTTTAATGATACCCTATTTGATTTAGAAGAGGAGGGGATGGGAGCTAATCAAAAATTGACTATTTTAACCTTATAAAATGAATTTTCTCACTTTTCTATTTTGTCAAGATATAAATACGTGTAATACAATTCACCAACTTTAACTTGCCATAATACAAATTATTTATGACTACTTATTATTTGAACAATAATTAAAAAATAACAAGAATTATAATATTTTTAATTGAACCGACCTTCTTAAAAAACAAATTAAAAAAATAGATTGAACTTGTTTACCGGTATATATTGCAATCAAAGTAAATATCCATATTTGTAAAACTAAAAGATTCACATGAAAAAAGATTCATAAGCGAATATATCATTTACATTAAAAAAGAATTCAAATACCAATAATATGATATAAGACTACTCCTAATGAGAACATGAAGAAGATCCAAACACTATATCCATGATTACTGCTTTACATGCTGGAGGTGGGCACTAAACAATTGATCTCAACTTGTTAACATCACTTACAAGATTGTTATAAACCTTGCTTGTCAACATCACTTACAAGATTGTTATAAACCTTTTTTTGTCAGCATTAAATCCATATTCACTTATCAAATGCCAAATTTTTTCACCTGACATGGGTGAAATCTAGTGGATAAAACTCTCTCTTTTTATAACATTTGACTCATGTAATAAATCATTTCCCATGTTCAAAGTGTCATGAATTAAATCATGACCTCGAGCTAATGCTTCATTGCCTTTTCTAATTGTTGTAGTCATGTTAGATACTACGCTCTTCATTATGTAGAGATCAATCTCCTTATCTTGAGCATGCTCTCTCCTTCTCCTTTTACCACAGTCACTAGTTGCTCCTTGTGGCTATTTAGAAGGTAAGGGATTTTCTTTACTAGTATCACAATCACTTAAAATCTTAACACCATCTAGTGTGTACTTTTTTTTGTGAGATAAGTTGATCCAGGTCATTGATAATTTCATAATTTGCTTCCACAGGAGATGAATGGCATCATTTTCACTTCTCCTTTGCTGTTAGAGACTCATCTCCACCAACTCTATCAGCTTCATATAAGATTATCATCTTATCGTAATTAGAAAATGGAGTATTTCGCCACACTGCAGCCTTCGGTTTAGACTGAAATAATACATATACATTTTAAAAGAAACATAATTTAAGCTTGACCAAAAAAAAAAGAGACCATATATAAAATGTAAAAATCATACCTGAATAAGAGCCTTCCAGACTTGAGGTTCAGCATCCCATAATTGAGTTGATGAGTCCCAAGTAAAACCACTTAGACTATTTTTAAATATATCATAAATTTCTAAAAAGTTTCTTTTTAACGTCTTCCAATGATTTTTTATTTTGTCATTGTCAATCTTCTTGTCAAATTGTGCGCTCAACACTTGAGCAATATTTTCATAAGTTGTAGTGGTAAATATCCCATTAACTTTTCAACCGTGTTCATACTTATATATGAAGGCATCAATAATGGCATCATCCATAGCCTTTGTCCAATTGAGCAATTCTTTGCTATTGTTTGATTTTGTTGGCATTCTATAGGCCTGTTTATTATAACATAATAAAATTTGAATTGAAAAAAAAAACAGAAATAAGTCCAGACTCAATCAAATTAATACCATAAATTGTTCTGACAATAACAAATATAGGTATTGAAAACAAAATTCAATCAAATTAGAAATATAAATCGTTCTGACAATAATAAATATAAGTACTAAAAATGAATGTCGATTAAATATGTCAATTAATCAACATGCTTGAGCTTGAGCTTGAGCTTGATAAGTAATCCACATTTTCCTAGCCATATTTTCTCTAATAAGCTCACCTTGAGTAACCTCCACATCTTCATTATTTGGAGCACGACTATCATCATTTTCATTTAGATTTGTGAGTTCCTCGTCAACTTCCCTAATAAGATCTTCATCAGGTCCTATGGTTATCAAGTAATTATGAAGAATACAACATGTAAGTATTACTAACGTTTGAGCTTTAACCCTATGAGTAGGCTTTGATTAATTAGATAAAATTTGAAATTGTTTTTTCAATACTCCGGTTGCTATTTTGATTACATTTCATAATGATGCATGCCTTAGATTGAATAATTCCTTGTGATTTTGAGGTGGATTTCTTGAATATTCTTTTAAATGATATTGAACCCTTCTATAAAGAGTGATAAGTCCACTTGTTAACATGAAATTAGCATCCACAAAAGTAATATTTTCCTATATATGAATGAAAATAATTAATATAAATGAGCGATAATAACTTGATTAATTGCATTAATTTTAAAAATTATTCAAGCAGTTACCATGGGGGATTTTAAGCCTATCTTCTCTAGTCAATGTATTCTTTAAAATTCTTGAGTCAGATGCTGTGTCTTCTCACCCTAGGAGCACATAAGTAAACTTTAGATCAAATGAGCATGTTGCTAAAATATTTTGTATTGGGTGCTCTTTCCTACCATGATATCGAGGGACATCTGTTGTGGATACTTTAACATGTATATGTATCTCATCTAATGCACCAACATAATCTTTAAAAAAAGGGAAAAATTTACCCTTATTGAAAATCTTAGAAGGCACTAAAAAACCATTAGCCTGTACAAAATTTTTTTTCTTCTAGTTCAATAATAGTGTCTAGTACTTTATAGAGATGTTGACTAATTGTCTCACCAGACTTTTGAAAAATAAAGTTAATTACACGATTTCTTGCTTTGTGTACTAATATATGAAGAGTCTTAACAACTTGTTCTTCCACACTTGCATATCGTGTGGCTCATAAGTTGCCCTCTTTCTCTAACATACTACTACCTCCGGTCCTTAATATAAGACCCCGTTTGACTTTTAGTTTGGTCCTAATTATAAGACCCCAATCCATTTTGTCTCTCATATTTATGCATTTTTTTCCAAGATAGTCCTTTTAATAATGATAGTTCTAACCAACACACTTAATTAGCAAGGATATTTTAGGAATGACAACATTTATTTGTTACAAATAACTAATTTAACTTACTTCCTTAATCTCCTCAAATTAGTCAACTGGATCTTATAATTAGGACCGGAAGTAATACATAATTTTAAAAGAAGTTTTAGGACCCATCCTAATCATGTCTCGATCATTTCCACTATTAGTTATTTGAGTCATTACTTCTTCACGTACACTTTCTCTTCTGGAGCTTAAATTATAACATTTTTTTCTTATTCCACATATAAGTCACATAGAACCATACAATAGCACTAATGACTTGAACTATAGTTCTTCAACGCAATTTCAAGTATTGATGAACTAATATAAAATATTGAATCAGCATTTATTGAATCAACATATATTTATGTCTTACCAATTCCATCTAAAATAAATAAATAAAAAATACTTCTAATCAAATCATAGATACCATAATGTTAATTAGTTAGATAAACACAAATAAATTTCTTTTGCTAATTCTTATATTATGTACGTCTAATTTAATATCAATAAAAATGAATCATTAGCATATATGTGTAATAAAAGTAATAGGAATGAGAATGAGAACTACCTAGTAAATAAATTATAATTTATCAAAATCTACATGTGATTGGTGGTATCTCATATATTAGTCAAATTTGAAGAGAAAACAAATTAAAAACTATATCTAAGTTAATATAAAGATGTCAACCATGATTTTTTTTTTTGGTGATATAGGGGCTGTTATAATTTCTATGCAGGAAGAAAAGGCACAAGTCACAAACCCTACTCAAATCAGGATTCGCGAGCTCTGCTTGTTGGGTTGAGGAGACAGGGGAGAGCTCGCGATTAGATTGCACGCGTCCTTCGTCTTCATCTCCGTTAGCATCGACAGCAAGCAGGTGCGTCTTCCACTTGTTCTCCATCTCTGTGTCTGAATCTGTGTGCGTGTAGTGAAGAGGGGTTGGGGTACTCTGTTTGAGAGAGTTGTGAAGAAGTCTCTTTCTGAATCTCTATACTCTCCACCCCTCCGGTTCATTTCACTCTCTCCCTACTATTCGAATAGCCTGCAGCTTCTTCAGCTTCCTTGTTTCTGAATCCTCCGTGCCCGTCGTTACCTTGGCTCCGTCGCCGTTAAGGCGAAATCGTAAACGTTGGTGGCTCTCATTCACTGTCCTCCGTGTCTCTCGCTGTTCTGAGTGTTTTTATGTTAAATATAATTTCCATGTTTGTTGATCTGCTGGTCTCACTGATTTCGTCGTGCTATTCTTTTGTTTGATTTTTGTTTAGATTTTACTCTAATCGGTGGTCCTGTTGCATCTTCAATTTGCAGGTTGGTTTTGATAGCTATCGCCTACTTCTATGCCCTACTTTTGCTTTAACGTTAAGGTAAGGCGGTAAAAGACTTGGGAATTGTTTTGAAGTCGCCATAATGTTGGGTTCATTACCGATACTGCCTCTGCCTGCTCCTCCCTCTGATGGAAATCTAGGTCCTCGCCCTGAGGCTCAATTGCCTGAGGAGAGGGAGGATGAAAAATCGTCTAGCGAGGAGCAGACCAAATCGAATTCTACATCAATTGCTACCCACACTAGAACTATTGGAATCATACATCCCCCTCCAGACATTAGAACTATTGTTGATAAAACAGCCCAGTTCGTTGCAAAAAACGGTCCTGAATTTGAGAAAAGGATCATTGCAAATAACACTGGCAATGTCAAGTTCAATTTCCTGAATTCATCGGATCCCTATCATGCATATTATCAACATCGACTAGCGGAATTTCGTGCCCAAAACCAATCTTCCACCCAGCAATCTCCTTTGCAGCCTATAGATTCAGCTTTGTCTGAATCAACCTTCTCTGCGCCAGCCTCTGACAGTAATGATGCTGCAGCAGCACCTACAGCAACAATAAAGCCTGACCCCTCCTCTCAATTTAAGCCTGTAAGGAAAGTACTTGAACCCCCTGAAGCTGAGCAGTATACAGTTCGGCTTCCTGAAGGGATTACAGGGGAAGAGCTGGATATTATAAAGCTCACCGCACAATTTGTGGCTCGAAATGGAAAATCATTCTTGACAGGGTTGACTAGTAGGGAGGTTAATAATCCTCAATTCCATTTCTTGAAACCAACCCACAGCATGTTTACATTCTTCACTTCCCTTGCGGACGCGTATTCTAAGGTTTTGATGCCTCCGAAGGGGTTGACAGAGAAGCTGAGGAAAAGCATTTCTGACATGACTACTGTCCTTGAACGGTGTGTGAACAGGCTGGAATGGGAGCGATCACAGGAGCAAGCTCGGCAAAAGGCTGAGGATGAAATAGAGCAGGAAAGGATTCAAATGGCGATGATAGATTGGCATGATTTTGTTGTGGTTGAAACAATAGATTTTGCTGATGATGAGGATAAGGAGCTGCCTCCCCCGATGACTCTTGAGGAGGTTATAAGGAGAAGCAAGGTTTCAGCCATGGAAGAAGATATAGTTGAACCTGAAAAGGAAGTTGAAATGGAAATGGATGAGGAAGAGGCCCAACTTGTTCAAGAGGGCATGAGGGCAGCTAGTTTGGAAGATAATGATGATGGTAAGAAAGGTGGGGTCAATGTTACAGAGGAGCCTGAGCCACCTATGAGGATTGTCAAAAACTGGAAAAGACCAGAGGAAAGGATTCCTGCAGAAAGAGATCCGACAAAATTTGTTGTTTCCCCAATTACTGGTGAGTTAATTCCAATTAATGAAATGTCTGAACATATGCGAATTTCTCTCATTGATCCCAAGTTCAAAGAACAAAAGGAAAGGATGTTTGCCAAAATTCGTGAGACAATGCTGGCTCAGGATGATGAAATCTCAAGAAACATTGTTGGACTTGCACGGACCCGTCCTGATATCTTTGGTACTACTGAAGAGGAGGTCTCCAATGCTGTCAAGGCAGAAATTGAAAAGAAGAAAGATGAGCAACCTAAGCAGGTTATATGGGATGGTCACACTGGTAGCATAGGACGAACTGCGAACCAAGCCATGTCACAGAGTTTGGGTGGTGAGGATCCAAATAATGTTGCTAATAATGAAGCTAGAAACCTTCCTGGCCCTGCCGCACCTCCTCCTAGGCCTGGTATGCCTTCAATTCGTCCTCTTCCACCACCGCCTGGACTTGCATTGAATCTTCCCCGTGTTCCACCCCCCACAGTTCAGTATCCTCCCCCAACCAGTGGTGGTCTTTCAGTGCCTCCTCCAAGACCTCCGGTACCCATTATGCCATCTTTTCATCCTGCTTCTCATCCAGTGCCAGTCACTTCTGGGCAGCAAGCATTCATGTCCAGTCAACCACCTCCGTTGCCTTCAGTTTCTGTCAATGGACCGGGGATGCCTGTTCCTCCACCCCCAGGTTCTCAATTCACTCCTGTTTCAATTCCTCGACCGTATGCCTCTCTTCCTATCCCTCCACCTGGGATGCCTATGATGCCTCCACCACCTTTGCCTCAAGGAATGCCACCCCCGCCGCCACCTGAGGAAGCTCCTCCTCCGCTTCCAGAAGAACCAGAGCCAAAGAAACAGAAGCTTGATGATTCAGCTCTTATCCCAGAAGATCAGTTTCTGGCTCAACATCCGGTAGGGACTTCGATATTTTTTATGATGATGATGATTAATTAGTTTTTAATTTACAAAAAATAGCTTCAACATTTATCCTTACTGATTTTATTTTGTTGCAACCAGGGACCAGTTCGTATCTGTATATCAATTCCTAATATTGATGAAGGAAATCTCAGAGGACAAGTTCTGGAGATTGCATGCAATCTCTGTCTGAAACTGTTGGCAGTCTGAAGGAGAAAATTGCTGGGGAGATTCAACTCCCTGCTAACAAACAGAAATTGAGTGGAAAACCTGGCTTTCTCAAGGATAATATGTCACTTGCTTATTACAATGTTGGAGGAGGGGAGGTGCTCTCTCTCACATTAAGAGAGCGTGGTGGTAGGAGGAGATGAGTTCATACTTGCCCATCCGTTCGAGGTTGTTGTTGGAGCTTTTGCCTCACTATGGGCATATGATTTCTCATAATATTCATAAACTCTATGATGCTTTATTAATGTTGGTGACTTTATGTGTATTCTAGTATCAGCAAGCTTTCAGGATCTTATAATTGTTTGGCAAGATTGATGTTAACTGTGAAATGCTGATTTGGCAACCTAGGCCTCATCTTTTGAGAGCAGTGGGAAGTAATGCAGTTCCTTTTATATGATTAAGTCAATACTTACACCATTAATTATTATTTTCTTCTGGATTTCAGTTGATTTCTTGCAGATTTACTAGTTTGTTTCTGCTCGAACTCTTCTGCAATCAGGGAGGGGCCATGTAGATTCTTGTTTTTCTTTGGTCTTGCTCATTTTTAGTGTTGTTTCAAATTTGAATGGGAAGCAGTGATTTAGGTTTTTCTTCTCTTCTAGTGTTTAGGTCTTCTTATATTGGATATGCTCTTACACCAGCACAGTTAATTGGTTGGTTTGGTTGGAGGATCCTTTAGGTGCTGAGCTTATGCACCTTTAGCTGGTGCATTATGTTTGGGCTTAATAGGGTTAGTCATATTTTACTTCCATTTATGCTTCACATAACCATTCCATGTATTGGCTGGGATGTTTGTTGTCGTTGATTATGTTGTTTTCTCGTAACAGACATTTTACATCGACTTATGGGAAGGCTGTTCCGCTTAGCTGATTTATCTGTGAATGGGATGAGGAAGGTAGAATGGCCTACATTACTCTCTACTCTGTAATATTAATGTATTTTCTTTTTATTTTTGAGCTATCTGATGGCAGTTTGTGCCTGCTAATTTTTGCAGCATAGAGCAGGTTTGGTGTCGTCATTTGGAGGGTATTTTTGAAAAATTATGAGCAAGATTACTTTCTGCTTTACTTGGTTTAGCTGACTTGATTATTTTAGATCTTAAATCTTGTTCTGCTAATATTTATTGAGATTCACTTTGTCTTTCTACTGGGTTGATTCATAGCTCTTGAATTCTTAAGAGAGTCAGTATGATCCATTAGAGCCACTTGTTTGTCTTTTTATACTTCTCCGTAAGTATGTGATTACTTCTCCCGTTGGGTCTCAAGTGATCATTCTTTTGTCTCCTTGCATTAACCAACTTTTGTGGTGGAAGCAGAAGACCACTGCATTGATGGCTGAAGGATAAAGAATAACGCAAGTGATACAAAACAGAAATAGAAGGGAATGAATTATTTCTATGCATATTGACCTGCGACTGTTGCATTATATATAGAGAAAATCAAGCCTGATCAATCATTACTGATTTGAATCAAACTGTTCGACTAACTGATTTTGAGCTGATAGGTAAACAACTCTTCTAATCCCAAAGTTGGCCATTCATTTCCTACTTTTGACTTACCGTTCCTCTGGCATTTCTTGCTCCCGAGCACCATCTTTTGGACAGCTTTTATTATATTTTTGTAGCAAAGGTTACAAATAGACTAGGAAACCAAGATGCTGAGTTTTATGTCATCTCCAACCGATTTATTATTTGTCTGACCATATTTGGGGCTTAGTTTCTACCTTTTCAGTTCTCACATGAACAGTTAATCTTGCAGTGACCATTTGCTGTTTTGGGAATGACATACATTTGACTTAATGCGTGATCTCAGAGGCATGAATTTATGGGACCTTTTGTCTTTGCTAGTTTTGGGTCCATGTCAATATTCACTCGTCTTATATGCATGGAGTCTCAATTTTCCTGTGGCATGTCTGTTTCAGTGTCGCTATATCGTTTCTTCTTGGAATGTGATGCCACTGGTAACGCTACTGATAGAAGTAGTGAAATAGTGGGTTCGGTTGTAATGTTTTTGGATTGATCAGAATGACATTTGAGCTATTCGTGATAAAAGTTCTGTTGATGGTGTAATGGTGCTGAAAAAAGTGGCCATATAGCGCACCAAAAGTGTGGCCATTGTCTTCTGCCCCAAAAAGAGAAAAATAGCTATAAGAATGTTTGTGCCCTTATGTTGTGCAAGTCACCTATATGACCCATCTTGGAATGATGGGTGCTGGTAAAACGGGCCAGCTCATGGCCCATGGTGGAGCAAGGACTTACAAGGAAGGACCAATATATTAAACCAAAAAAATAAAAAAAACTGGCCTAGACTGTGGTGGTGTGGGGCTGTAAAATTTCAGATTCTAGCAGGCTGGCCTTTTGCCAACCCGCCTGTGGGCCCAGCCTGGTGGGTAAGGTGCTGCAGTAGTAAGCTTATTTGTTTGCCGTAAAAGCTTAATTGCTGTCATGGGATGTCTGTTCGTGGAAGAGTTACCAATATTGATTTGTGGTTCATGTGATTTTATTGTTGTCGGTTTGTTTTTCATTATCTTTAGATTTTGGGGAGAATGACACGTTGGTCCTTTAGACGAGAATTATTGATACGAGTGGGTGCATTACAAGTCCCAAGAAGTAAGGAATGGGGCTTGGGGAGGGTTATGTAGGTTCTCAAGAAAGAGTTCCGTACAGGCCAAGAACAATTATGTACTTTTAATTACAGAATGAGAAAACTTTTTTGGAGATATTTATATTTGTTTCCAATTTTCATTTTGGTATTTGTGTTTTTTTTTCTTAATTAAATTTTTATTTTTGCACTATTAACATGATTAATCCCCATATGACGATTAAAAATGTTAATAGAACAAAGTTACAAGAGATAATGTTGTTAGAAAAGTAAAATTCAATAATTAAGAAGAAAAATGTAGGTATCAATTTAAAAATTGAGAGAAAGTATAGGTGTTTTTAATATAGTTTTTGTTTTATAATCGTACAAGGGTATATTCTAGTCTTAGGAATTCATACAAATAGATGCATGCAAATATGTAATGTATTGGGAAAAAGTATAAATATGGTAATAAGACTTGACCATTTGCGATGTTTTAATGCACTAAAGAACCCTTGCACAAGTAATTTATAGACAAAAAATCCGAAATATAACATTCGACTGTCCTTTGCGGGTTTTTTTTTTACTTAAAATAATATAGAGTTAAAATAAAAAGATACAACATCCTAAATCGCGTTTTATAAAATATAGTTAATTAAAAAGAAAGAAATATTGTTTGAAATACATAAACGAAAACAAAAAAAGGAAGGAAATTCGTCAAGTAGCTTATGATTTTTGCAAATTCCTTTGGCAAATTTTGTGAGCTGCTATAATTTATGATCCAAGCTTTTTTAGGTGAAACAAGAGTATCTTTAAGTCACATTAGATTTGAAATTAATCCCTTTTAAGTCTGGAATGATTAAAGAATAACCTTTCCAATAAATGCGTTTTTCGCAATTCAAACTTGTATTGTATTCCTTATGAAAATGTACCACCTGAACCAATAACTTTTTCGCTGAGCAAGTCACATTCGTGAATTGCTATGGTTTATTATCCAAGTTAAATGGGAGAGGAATTGTTCGCTTAGTCAGATTTTTAACTCAACATGATATTTGACGTTATTGATGAAGGAGGAAGATTTTCTCCTCTTAATCTTACTGATCCAAATAGTCTATCCATGAAGGGATATTAGTAATGAGCGGGGAAGCTAATATTTTCCTATCTTAGATTCTTTCTTTTGAAGACTTAGAGAATTAGCATTTCACTTTTTTTTTTGGTGTTTCTTTCTTCCTCCTCTTTTCTTAGAAGCGATTCTAACGAGGCTAACGTATGTGAGAAGAATTTTGTACGACATCCAAAAACAATTTTGTTTTGTACAACATAAAAATCCATCTTAGAGTCAAAAGTTAAAATTTGTGGTTGTGTTTAAAAAAATCTCCAAACACAGCAAAAGATAAATTATGTTGGTTGATTTATTATATAAATACTTCATACTGACGAAAAAATTTAAGTTTTTAATTTGTAAATCTATTTTGCCTTTTGCTTTTATTCCAGACTTGCCATTTTATTAATTTTATTATATACATGTATCACGCAAAAATATATAATATAATACTGCCTCTGATCTTTAATATAAGATCTCGTTGACTAATTCGAGTAGATGAAGAAAATTAGTTAAGTTAGTTATTTGTAATAAATATGTGTTATCTTTTCTAAATTATACTTGTTAATCAAGTGTATTGACTAGAACTATCATTATTACAAATATTAATTTAAAAATAAATAAATAAATATGAGAGACAAAGTGGATTGTGATATTATATTTAAGACTAAGATAAAAGTCAAACCAGTTCTTATGTTAAGGACATGATGTAGTAATACACATAAATATCGATCAATTAATCATCAACTATCAACTAATATTTTTGAAAATTTGTAATACTCAATTCATTTTAAAAAACGTCGGATATGATATTATGATATCAGAATATATTCCATTAAAGAAATTTGAATAAGGTTGTGATTAAGATTTGAATATGTTGAATTAAACGGAAAACATTATAAATAAATAAAATTTCAATTAGAGGCTCAAATGAAGGAATGAAAAATTAACTGTGAATTTTAATAATACCTTAATTGAGATTTGAATATATTGAATTAAACGAGGAGTATTATAATTAAATAGTATATCAATTATAGATTTAAATAGAGAAATAAATAAATAATTTTAAATTTTTATCTATTCCTCCTAAATTCCGCATCTTTAATTCAAATTCTATATGAATGAATTAAAAAAAATCATAATTCTATAAAAATAAATCTTGAGCTATCTTAGGTAATGTAATTTGTTAAAATTTTAAATCTGATTAAATATGCTAATCTGTGCATCGTACATGGAGAAATTTTTAGTTTTAAAGAGATCATGTAATATATGTTATGCAAGTTATTGGTTGAAATGATAATTAGTCTACTCTAAGAAGAACAGTAAAGTTCGAATTTTAAAAACCACAGCGGACTTTAATTTTAATGCTTTCTCGACATATTCTGAATTACTACTTTTGATTCTAATTATAAAAGCCACTTGACTAATTTGAGAAAATTAAGGAAAGAAATTAAGTTAGTTATTTGTAATAAATATGTGTTGTCTTTCCTAAAATATCCTTGTTAATCACGTATATTGGTTAGAACTATCATTATTAGAAGGACTATTTTAAAAAAAATGTATAAATATGAGAGATAAAATAAATTAAAATTTTATATTTATGATCAAAATAAAAATTAAATAAAATTTTATATTAAAGACTGGAGGCAGCATAATTTAGTAAGTTCTATATTAAGAAGCGAGATAATAGTTAACATGATGCGAACTTCCCAAAAAAGTTTTTACTAGAAAACATATTTTCCGTAAATTCTAAGATCCCCTGCTGTGTCTGCGGCCGCAGCTCCCGTAAGGACGTAGCCACTTCCTCATTCGCAAGCTTGTATGATTTTGGACTGAAGTTCCAATGCACAATCTGAGTTCAAGCATAGCATCCTTTGTGGTGGAACCACGCTAGTTGATCAAACCTTCTCCGATATCTCTCTTAGCTTTCTGCACTACAGTGTGAGTTCTTAAGTTTTGAAGTGCTGTTTGATATTTCTAAAGGATAGATTTTAAGAAATTACTGTGGGAATTGGAGGAAATATTATTTTGCTTAGTTTTTGCGAAATGTTGCTCATCAAGTGCTATGGTTAATACTAGGTGGTAATTTCATGATCACAAGGTGTTCGAGGGAATGCGTAGATGGGAATTATGTGTAGGATGAGTTTTTCTTCTCTCTGAGTTTGTCATTTAATTAGTTAAATTTGATATGATGTGTACAGAACTCAATACCAATGGCGTGTACGCTATAGCCCTGTTTTCTTGGTCCTTTATGGTTATCCTTCTGATATGACGTATACACTATAGCCTGTGACATCAAGTTCAATTCCAACGAATTGGGGTTTAATTTCTGAGTAAATATTATGACGATTTCTGTATTTTCTAGGTGAGTTGGCGGAACATAAACATATACATTATGTTTTTGACATTACTTTAAAGGTGCAAAACTCATTGTTTTTTATTTTAAATAGTTGGCTGTAGAAATGAGGGATTAGGGTTAAAGCAAAGCTGTATGTCTTGTATGTGTTTTCTACATCACTCTTGACCTCCACTGCCTTCACTGAAAGCTGTTCAATGAACAGGCAGAAATCTTTAGTTTTATCTTGTTAGTCTTGTTCTGATGAGTAATATGTTTGTACTAAGGTCTTAGTTTACATTATTGGCGTTAACTATTCATGAATTTGCATTTGCAATCACTCGATGATAAAGCCTCATTGTGTCATTGTGCCCAATAATCTTGTATTGTGGCTGTTTGATCTGGCCTTTTAGCTTTTTGATACAATGTATTGATACGAAGAGAATTCCCTCTATCCTACTTTTAACATGCAAACAATTTGTTATTATCTCAATGGATTTTGCAGCTGTCTTTAGCAAGATAACATAAATAATAGTGTTTCGCTGCCTTTGGTGATGGGGAGTGAGGTGGATGCAGTAAAGGAGGCCCGGATAGTTGATGCCCGGGCAAGAACATCAGTCATAACGTGAGGTGCACAGAATGTGGGAGTCAGTCCATTGAAGATTCTCAAGCAGACATTGCAATTCTACTTAGAA